AGCTGTGTGAATTTATGGCTTACAGATGCATTACTTTTGTTGTATGTTAAGTACATACATGTACATATATATTGTTTCTGTTGTTGTTGCTATTGTTTGTTGTTGTTGTATCTACAATGCCAACCAATTTCCGCTCATTAAGAATGCGTAACGTTGCGCTTCGCATGTGCATGCGCGTATATACATATGTATACATAAATATATATATATATATATGTGTGTGTGTGTGTGTGCGTGCAAGTGCATTTGTATCTTAAAGACATGTGAAACATACGTTCAGGCGATGGCAAATTTATGGCCCGTGGGCGCGATAAGCTTCCTGCATGCGCACATCTTTTAGATACATATGTATCTGCAGCTTCTAAGCGAACTATCTCCACATGCCCTGTAACCCCAATTAATTATCAAGTGAAGAGGTCAGAATGGTTTTGATCAAGTCTATGTAACAAGCAAAGCGAGGTCTTTATATAGAAAACATTGAGAGGGTCCAAACTTTACGCTTACAGCACGCTCTGCAGAAGTTTCTATAAAATATCATCAGCGATTCTGCAGCTGTATTGAATATTTCAAAGTCAGGGTATCTTCCAGTCAAGCATTCCTTACTCTGGAGTCTACATTCTTGTTCTAATTAATAGTTGTTGTTGTTCTCTCTGCTTTGAAATCATGCATAAATTGCAGTCTCCTCCTTTGTCGCCGTTGTCAGCATCGATAAGTCGAGTGTCAAGAGATCTGCTCGTTTCTGTTTCGGCTGCAGATTCAGTTTCAGCTTCAGTGTGCACGCAATGCACGCCTATCAGCTGCCCCATCTACCTGCTGCTATATCAAATCTTGTATCTCTTTTAGTCGCTTTGTATCTTTCGGTCTTTCACTTTTTTTTTTTTGCTCGGTTGTTCGGCTGCCCTCGTCTGTTCGTTCGTGCTTTGCCTCGCATCGCAGTCGGAAATAATTTCAACTTTTGGTCGTTGAACTCTTTTTGATTTATTTATTTTTTTAATTTTATTTTTCTTTTCTTACTCACAAAAAAATTGAGGGCTTGCTTTGTATACCCTGCAGAAAATCAAATTTATGTGGCACACAAAAGAAGTATAAGTATATATACACATTATCTATATATGTATCTATATCTATATAAATATATATTCTTGATCAGGGCGGAGCGCTAATTCAGTCCGTCTGTCTATATATTTGAAAGCGTCGATTTAAGAAACTGTAAGAAAGTATGGTTTTTGGAACTATCAAAAATGAATCCAATTATAATTACGTAGGTCTTTGAAGCTAGAATTTTATTAGTTTATGTTTACTATGTTTACTATACAATTTTATTTTCTTCTATATTTGGGATACCGATTTATTATACTATTTGATTATGAAGATGCGACTACAGGATCAAGTAGTAATGTTTTTTAAAAGACCAGAATTTTCGGAGTTCAGGGTATCTTCAAGTCGGGCAACCTGGCGGTTTTGCTTATCGCTTGCAATTTTTGCCGTTGCATACAGTTTATTCCGCATATTTGCTTGAATTTCGGGAGTTTTATTTGTTTGTTGGAATCAAACCAGTTTCTTAGCTTTTAAGTATAAATCGAATTTGTTATTAATTACCAATTTTTTATTATTTTCTTAAAACCCTCTCTTTGCTGTTGCCGTAAGCATTTTTAGAATCTGATCCTATTTTAAATGGAAATCGATATTATTAAAGTGTCTGTAATAGATAATGAGATATTGAGATAATGGGAAATGGAAGCGTGGCAGATTCCCTAGTTGGGATAGGAATTCTTGATCTGCACCATTGTGTACAATTCTCTTTGCTGGGCCTTCTCGGTTAGAGCAAACATGCAATGTAATTGCGAAAATATCATTCCGACTAATATGGGCAATATTATTTTAATCTTAGTAAATTTTAATTACATTTTTATGCGTATAGTTTACATAGATGCAAGCTATCATAATGTTTAAAAATGCGTATCTACGAGGCATCTCCCAACTAGAGACGATTGCATGCCAGTTTCTGTTTGATTAAAACGTGGGTCTTCTAATTAATTCTATTTTGCTAATTGACTATCTAGAATTGGTTTAACATCGATGCTTATTGAATAATAAATAAAAATTATGAACTTAAAAAGCTTTGTATGATTGAAAACGTTTTGGATCGCTTTTGGCCGACATACACATATGAAATCAAAATATCTTACTGAAATAAATGCCAAATATAATTCCAATTCTCTTATATTTTAAAGAAGAAGATAGAAGAAGAACGTTTAATAAGCGCTGTACAGATCGCTGAGGGAAATATTTAATCATTTAATCATTTATATATATAAAATATAAAATATATATGTACATTCATGATTTCAAATGAATAATCCATTTGTGATAAGTTTTTTATTGCCAACAAAATTGTTTTCATGCTATTATTGAGTTTAGATCTATTTCAAGCCGAACTCTTTGTCATCTACTCTGGCTGCAACTTTTGCAATTTTAACCTCAATTTCGTTTACTTTTAACCTTCTGTTGCTGCAATTGCCAAGAACTTCGCTCATTAAAATGGACGCTTTTTCTCTCTTCTTCTTCTCCTTCTTTATTATAAACATTAAAACAACAAGTTGTTGCGGCATCTCTTTGAATGTTTCGCATTTGGCTGTGGGGATGATGCGAATATTAACAGAGAGTCAGACGCAACATAGCATACAAAACATTTAACTTTAATTATCGCTCATAAAGACAACAACAACAACAGCAACAATAACAACAACTCGATTGCAGTTTGCAGTCATTATTTTATTTATTTATTTTATTTTTTTTTTTTTTTTTTTTTGTTTAATCAGCATTTGCTGTTGTTGTTGTTATTGTTATTTTTCTGGTGTTTTCTTTGCCTCCAGGTACAGGTTTTTCCACATTTTCCATGGGCGACCCCCGAAGCCTCAAGCGGCGACCCACTGCACTCCAATGCACAGTTTTCCACAGTTGCTGCTAAAAGTTTTTTGCCAGCTGTTGTTTTTGCATTTGTTACTCTTTGGCTTGTTTGCTTTGCTTTTTTTTATTTTTTTATTTTTTTTTTTTTTTGCACAGTCATGCCAGCACGCCTCAATTGTCGACACTGGCACAAACACACACACGCACACAGAGAGAGATATATAGATGCAGATACAGCTGCAGTCAAAGACACACATACATATCTACCAACACACTTGCATTGACTGACAATGCGATATTGTGTAATCGCCCACGTTGATTTATCTCATTTAAGTGACTCCAAAATGACGCCAACGCCAAAGCCGGCGTCGACGTCGACGTCGACGTCGACTTTGCCTGATGATGCTAAGAGCGTAATGTGTAATAACTCGCAAATTACATTCGCTTGTCGTATGCCCTGTAACCAGTAAGCACTTTGAAGACAAAGTTTTAAGTACTCAAAGAGATTTCTTATCTAACTATCCCATTTCTTTTTTTCTCTTACTAATTCATTTACCCTAAGTCTATTTATTGAAAAGACAGACAGTTGACAAATGTGGTGGAAATTAATCAATTATATTTTATTTTAATATTTAATAATTTGT